ACTGTTGCCCAATTATCATGGCTCATATCGGGCATGCAGAGAAACGATATCAATCTCTCCTCTTCAGATTTGTAATGCCCCCACGCAATCAATAAATGCAGCGCTTTTTAGGAAACGGAGACGATGCATGCGAAATCGAAGGGAATCGGCCCTACAATTTTGGAAACTGGCCCTAAATAAGCAGATGGATGGAATATGAAGTTGACAGGGAGTAACCGAGTAAGTAAGCCAATCCACACAGTATTCTATTATTCGTATCATCGTGTTGTACCATGGTAATGGCAAGTTAAATATTGAATCTTGCAGAAAGGAACCAAGTATGATCAATCTCCTATTGTCAGATCTCTACTCATCCTCATTTATAAGCAGATGTGGACTACGCAGAACACTAAAGACAGAGACAGATTACTTCTTTGTAAGCACATTCCCAGTGGACAAGAAAATTATATAAGAATGGTAACACCACATTGTTCACCAGGCATGGCAAGATAGCCTAATAAAAAGGAGGTGATCACAAGAAACAAGAGGAACAGAAATTGCTTTATCAGTAGTTTGATCTTTCATTACCACTAAAGAAATTTTCACAAGATTAATAAGCATTAAACATGCACTACGTAGAATAAGCAGTGCATTTTATATTAACTAAGATGATATTTGCACAAAATAGAGAACTAAACATGCTTCTACAGGAATTGGCATAGATATTTACCTGCAAGGAGAGTTCCCCTGCGGTTAAACGCAATGCATTTCATATTCCCATGCTGCAAGAATTCCTCAATAGTCTCAGGAAAATCCCCTTGCAACGGATCTACACATACACAGAACAGATAATAGATATTTACTTCCAACATCCTAAAGTTTTCCATTCTCAAACAAAATGAAGTGCTAAAAACCAAAGTTAAAAAACGCCCTAGCCCATAATTGTGCATTTGTCACCGCCTTGCGCTTTTCTGAGCAAAGTGCACGCTTAAGCGCAATTAAGTGCTAGGCATTTTGCTTTCACCTAGAGCCTAGGCGCGCTTAAGCGCCTGCCTGGGTGTGCCTTTTTTAACTATGTTAAAAACGATCAATAAAAACAGTAAATGAACAGAACCGTAGCAATAAGGTAGGTTGCTAAACTGGCCGTTCCAAAACTGTAAGCCAAACACTTGTAGAGTTTTTCCAAATTGCCATATGCACAAATTTACATTTGCAACTCTTAGCAAAGCAATAGACCAAAAATTCAACTTCAGCTGGATGCCGCGGTAACACCGAAAGTCTGAAAGACTGAATCCAAAATCACTCGCCAGACCAGATGAATAATCACTACAGTATCTATCCAGCCTGCTACATTCTAGGGCAAAAGAAATAGGTTATTTGTACATGGACACCCAAACACCGAAATTACATCTGAAATCGCCTAAAACAGTGGGGAAACTAGGCAAAACAGAGCAGCCCTAATTCGCCCAACCCCACCCTACGAAAAATAAACGAAACCACCTCAAATCAGCCCGAGAATAGCCCTAATCTGCAAGATACCAACGAATTTCACCCAATTCGATGGAATCAGGGCGATGAAAACTCACCGACTATGGGCACATTCATCGCGCCGCCGCTCGTCCTCGATGCGACACTATCCGCACGGGGCGAAAGCCGAGGAACCCGCAGAGCAGAGATCGAACGAAGGAACCCCGAGGCGAGCCCTCGAGGCGGGGAGGAAGGACCTAAAGCCCTAGAAAACTATGGGGATGGAGGGTGAGGGTGAGGGGCGCCGGGGGATAAAAGAATTTCACGAGGTGGGAATCCGCCCAGGAGTGGGCCGGGGGACGAGCAGGGCCTCGACCCGCCGCCGCGCGTTAGGGTTCGAGTCGATAAATTTCCAGGCAACCTGATGTTAACACCCTCCTACCACAGTCCTAATCAATGCTGCCCACATCCGGCGGCGCGCTGCACCGCGGCGAAGGCAACGGCGGCTCCGGCAAAGCAGGGGCGAGGCCGGGCGTGGAATGTCGAGGGGAGGGGGCGGTGCGACGGGAACAGGGGCGCCGCCACGCGAGAGGGGAGGAAGGGCGCGGCCAGGAGGGCAAGGAAAGGGGTGCGGCGGCGGCGGCGGGCGGCGGGAGAAGACGGGGATGGCCGGAAGGGCAAGGCGGGCCAAAAAAAAAGGATCTGGACTATAGGGTTTTGGTCCAGATCTAAGTGGAAAGCCTGGGAGCGCCTTGCCCGACGGCATCTCTCCGGCCGGCCGTTTATTTTTAGTTTTCATGGAGTGTGTTGCAAATTAAAGATTCACGATAGAAGAGAAAACATGAGTGAAAAAACACATCAAGCCCTCCCGGACAAATCGGCCGGCGAAGGCGGAGCGGCGTGAAAACAAACCCCTTAACGGAAGCGGCCGGCGAAGCCCTCTTATGGGACGAAGCGGCCGGCGAAGCCCTTGCGTCGAAGAGGAAGCCTCCCGGCTTACCCATGACAGAAGAAAAGTGTGTCTCGCCGTTCATGGTAACCCTTTTCCTCTCCCGAGCGGCGCTGCGAAGGCGACAAGCACATGCGAACAGAGTAAACAAAGTGGCAGGGGACCTCGAGCAGGGCCAGTTGTAATAAGCATTTCTCGACGAAGCGTTGTGGGTGCCATATTTATAGCGAACTTAATAAATGAGTACTAGCACATGAAAGCGCGATCGCGCCCGTGTGAGTGCTTGTCACATGCTTTTGTTTTTGTAGTTTTTGAGTGCAGTGACCAGCATATGCTTTCGCGGACTATGTAATGTCTATTAGGCAAATGATCCCTTACGGCTGTTCGGCGGAACGCTCGGCCGGTCGCGTGCTATTCGTTCAATTGAAGTAGATCGTGTGGCCCGTGTGTAGCCTTATCCTCTCACCCACCCTTTTTTTATCTCCTCACACCAATGCTCCTTTTCTTCTTCCTCGCCCCCTCATGTGCGTCCCCAGCTACTCCTTCACGTATCTCTCCCTTGTGGCCTACCTCCAAATCAACAGCTCGTTGGCGATGGAAGGGGTGTGTGGCGAGCTAGCGACCCCTCGGGGCACACATGAAGTTGCGAAGGTGCGCGGAGCACAACTGTCGGCGAGCGGGAGGTGCGATGCTCCCAGCTACGACGACAACCTAGTGTTGCAAGCTGCTATAGCAGCGAGGGATGGTTTGCTACGGTTGAAGGTCATAGCAACGCTTTTTTGCTGCGACCGGCCAGCCAGATACTAGAATCGGTGCCCCCGGCGAGGGGTCTGTGTCTTAAAGACGGACGACAACTGCGACGATTTTGTGCTGGAACCGACAACATCTTGTGTTGCAACCAACATCGGGAAATGATGCAATCAGCCACGCGATGTGCTAGAACCGAAGGCGCCCTCGCCGCCAACACGTTTTTTCGCAGGAACCAATGTTTTTGTTTTGTTTCGTTGGCCGCTTCATCCCGTAAAGCGTAGTGATACGTCTCCAATTATCTTGATTGTTTGTTGGAACCAATTATAGATATGTTGGAACCAATGATTCGATTTTGTTTGCCAAAAGCGTAGTGATACGTCTCCAACATATCTATAATTTTTTATTCTTCCATGCTGTTATATTATCAATCTTGAATATTTTATAATCATTTTATAGTCATTTTATATCATTTTTGGTACTAACATATTGACATAGTGTCGAGTGCCAGTTGTTGTTTTTTTACATATTTTTTACATCACAGGTAATCAATATCAAACGGAGTCCAAACGCAGCGAAACTCTTTGTGGATTTTTTTACCAAACGACAACCAATGGGCTGAAGAAGCACCTGGGGGCTACTCCGACGGGAGCACAACCCATAAGCTAACAATACTCATGGTACCTTTAGTCTCGATCCAATCAGGCACAACATTCATCGGGAGTCCCTGTTGAAGAACATCGTATGGTAACATACTTACCAATGAAGTTTAGCTTAAAAAAATGTATGCAAAAGATGCACTGAGGAGAAATAGTAGAAATCTTACCATCTTTCCTAAATATATGTGACCGTAGTTCAGTACGAACACTATTGGTCGCACATTTTGAGTACTAACATTTCTAAGTGCAGGAAAAAAATTTGTCTTGACAGCATCAAGATCCTCAAGCCATGAAACATAATGACTTGTCTCCTCGCAGTTTAGTTCAGCCCCGGGACAGTGGAGGGTCCTGTCTATCAAGCGCCGGGCATGTTTGCTTGATTGGAAATAAGCTGTCAATATAAATTACTTGTCAACTCTTTTTGAATAAACAATATCGAAGACATAAATATGGTTGAGAAATTCACATAATGGTAGAACTGGAGACGTCTACACATCGACCCAGATGTCTTTATTACCTTCAATATCATCTTCCGGATGAATATCAAAGGTGATAACCATATCAGGCTCAAATGCATAAGCCTTGCATAGTGCTTGCCAAGTTTTGCATTCAAAATAGGTGTATGTGTCTGCATTGTATAACTTGACGTTGAAGGTATAACCATGCTTGGTCTTCAAGTAAACTCTTTTTACCTCCATAGTTTTGTTAGGACTGAAACCTATCTTATACAAGACAAAAATTCTTGCATGGCAGGGGATACGCTAGTAGAATAGTGAAAAATTAAAATTAAAAGTTGAAGCAAATGAAGCATAAGTCATGCTTAATTACGAAAAAAGACTTGTCGTTGTGACTTACTGTATCCATTTCGAAGTTCTCATCCAGCTTGATGTTGAAGCGTCTATCATCAACTAGAAAATTTCTGCCGCACAGGCCGCGCTGGTCTTCGCAGTATTCGCATATAATGAAATCGTGTTCGTCGTCAGACGACATTCCTATGTTCATAGGTGAAACATTAAACATTTATTAGTTCTATTAATTGAACTAATTATGTTAATTCAAATAGTTCAACTAATTAATTCAACTAATTCAACTAAGCACTTACGAAAAATATACCTAAATAAAGTAGCTCAACTAATTCAACTAACTAGTTCAACTAATTAATTCAACTAAACTAGTTCTATTAATTTTCTTACTAAAAATAAGGTAGCTAGTTCTATATAGTAAAATATTAATTATATAATGAAATCTCATATAACTAAATTAAATATATATCTAATATATAATTTATATCTAATTCATCTAACATTTGACATTAATATCTAACATATGTTCATATATAGGTGAAACATTAAACAGTTACTAGTTCTATTAATTCAACTAAATAAACTAGTTCTATTAATTCAACTAAGCATTTACTAAAAATAAACTAGTTCTATTAATTTCTTACTAAAATAAAGTAGGTAGTTCTATGTAGTAATATTTTGATTAGATCATCAAATCTTATATACCTAAATTTTCTTACTAAAAATAATTAGTTCTATTAATTCAACTAATTCAACTAAGAATTTACTAAAAATAAACTAGTTCTATTAATTTTCTTACAAAAATATATAAAGTAGCTATATATAGTAATATTTTAATTAGATCATCAAATCTCATATACCTAAATTTTCTTACTAAAAATAAACTAGTACTAATTCAACTAGCTAGTTCAACTAAGCATTTACTAAAAATAAACTAGTTATATTAATTCAACTAGTTCAAATAATCTCATATACCTAATTAATTAATATCTAGCTAATTCATCTAACAATTGACATTAATATTTAACTTCTCTATCTAATTCATCTAACAATTGACATTAATATTTAATTTCTCTATCTAATTCATCTAACGTTAACATTCTAACATTCTTATCTAGGTAATTAATCTAATTAACAATCTGACATGCATTAATCTAAAACACAGAAAACAGAAAATAAGTAAAAAATTATGGCGTATGTGTGTGTGTATGTGTGTGTACATACGAGCGGGGGCGGCGGCGTACGGGCGGCGGCGCGAGATGGCGACGACGGGGATGGCGCGACGGGGGCGGCGGCGGCGTGAGATGTCAACGACGGGGGCGGCGCGACGGGGGCGGGGACGGCCGGGGCGCGC